CCACCAGAGGGGTGAACGAAGAGACATCACTGTCAGAAAACGACAAGCCGAGATGCATTTTTCCTGATCCCTGTGTTATACACAGACCAAGAGAAGCAAGGGGCAAAAAATATATATAAATAAAACATATCACTCTCCTCAAGATTCAGATGCAGAATATACAGCACAAGAAACACCACACGTTTCTGACGGTGAAGATCGAGACTTATTTGCACACATAACTGCTTATGGAAATATTTTCCTGCTACTCATGCAAATAGGTCATTCGAACAATTTGGTGTGCAATAAAAGGCATGTCATCATGTTAAACACATTACATCCTGTATTGCTTGATGGTGGTGAAGAAGACATCATATAAAATTCACTGTGTGATACAACTCACTATTCCAATATCCTCTTCCATTAAAATAGATTTTATATATATATATATATATATATATATATATATATATATATATATATATCCATCAAAAAATCTTGAAAAAAAACTACACAAAAAAAATATATATATATATATCAAACAGCATAACTACTTAACTGTAAATGTTTCTTGAGCACCATCTCTGCCAATTAGAATAATTCCTGAAGGATCATGTGACACTGAAGAACTGAAATTCAGCTTTACCACGACAGGAATAAATTACATTTAAAAATGCATTAAAATAGAAAACATTTAAAACTGTAATAATACTTCACAGTATTACTGTTTTTACTGGTCAGCATAGAGATGCATATCCATTTTGATAGTCAAAAAAAGAAGCAATAAGAAAACTGATGACAGAATAGAAAAGAAGATGCTCTAAAGGAGCTGGTGTTTGGAACTATTGCACTAGTTTGCAAATATGTATGGGAGTAAACTGTTAATTCCACACAGTAAAATATGGTCAAGCGTGGCATTGAAGAGTCGAATCCTTTTAGTATTTTGCATTATGTTTTTGTAAGTACTCCATATTTCACCTGACCAATAGCAACATCCCAGTGATCTTTTCATGTCTCTTGTATCACTCTGGTCTCTATTTTTTCATACCCAAAGACCAGCCAACAGACCAGGGTTAGTAACTTTGCAATAATGATCAGCTGTATTGTGCCTATAGTGTGTATAAAGTGTGAAAAACAATTAAATCGTCATACTAATCATAACTATTTGTATAAATATGAAGCTGACATTTCACCAGTGTCGATTCATTTAGCAATTTATTCTTGAATACTCTTGATAAAAAAAAACTAAAACTCTACATTTACTACATCAAGCCTAAAATTAAAATCCAACATAAATGCAAGAAAATCCACAAAAGAATGGCTTTGAAGCAAGAAATGGAATGGTTATAGGAATGGCAAAGTCACAGTCCTGACCTCAATACAATTGAAATGTGGTGGGGTGCAAGAAAACTCTTCAAAATCACACATTTAAAGGGATAGTTCAGCCACAAATAAAAAAAAAATCTGTTATTAATTACTTACCCTCAAGCAAGCAAGCAATATTTATAAAGCACATTTTCAAACAACAGACGTTGCCCCAATGTGCTTTCCAAAAATGATCAAATTAAAATCGTGCAACAAAACAAAAACATAACTTATTCAAAAGCTAAAGAAAATAAATACGTTTTTAAATAAGACTTAAAAGTGGCAATCGATGGAGCTGACCTCACATGGAATGGCAAACTATTCCAAAGTTTGGGACCTACCACAGGAAAAGCACAATCTCCTTTTGATTTTAAATGACAACGAGGGATCTTTAAAAGCCTTTCATCGGAGGACCTAAGAACTCTAGAAGGAGAGTAGGGAATAATAAGATCACTGATGTACTGGGGGGCCAAGGCCTGATAGGGCCTTGTAGACAAACAAAAGGACTTTAAAATCAATCCGGAATTTAACCGGAAGTCAATGTAAGGATTGCATGGTCTCTCTTTCTCACCCCTGTTAAAAGCCTTGCCGCTGCATTTTGCACTAAATGTAGGCGGACTAGCTCTACTCTGGGGAAGACCAATCTATAAAGAATTGCAATAGTCAATCTTTGATGAAATGAAAGAGTGAACTACAATTTCCAAATCCCTACTGGATAGAAAATGCTTAACTTTAGCAATTGATATCAGGTTAAAAAAGCTACCTTTAACAACAGCACCAATCTGTTTTATTAAAATGTAGTGATGCGTTCATGATCACCCCTAAACTCTTAACATGATCTTCAATCTTTAGGGACAAGGAACCTAAACGATCAGGAAAGGTATACAGTAGGTGAGATGGGAGAGAAAAAAACTCGTTGCTAGAAAGCCAAAGTTTTATGTCGCTGTAACATTCATGTGCTTTGTCCAGCGAACAGGTTTTATCTAAGCTTACAGGAAAGTAAAACTGGAGGTCGTCGGCATAACAGTGGTATGAAATACTATACTTTTGAAAAATAGTGCTAAGAGAAGCATATACAGAGAGAACAGCAATGGTCCCAAAATCGACTCCTGAGGTACACCACAAACTAAAGGGGCCAATGTGGAAGAAAAGTCTTACAGATTCACAGCAACTGTCCTGTCTTTTAAATATGAGGCAAACCACTGAAGGGCTGTACCCTGCACACCAACCCAACACACCAGATGGTTGAGAAGAATCTCATGGTCAATCGTATCGAAGGCAGTTCCATATCGTTCCAAACCCCATAAGACTTTCGTTCATCTTCGTAACACAAATAAAGATTTTTTTTTTATGAAATCTGAGAGCTTTCTCTCCCTCCATTGATACGCCACTATCACTGTGACGCTTCAAAAAGTTCAGAAAGAGATCACTTTATATGATGAACAGATTTAATTTAGGCGTTTACTCACATAACATTCCTCAACTCGTACATCAGTTGTGGTATTTGACGTGCCAGAACCAATGAGGTTCATTTATGTTACGCAGCACGTTTGAGCTTCCACAAGAACCAATGAGGTTTGTTCTCGAGCATCAAACAGGTTCGGTTGAGGTTATGTTCACATAAGTTTGTAAATGTGAATAAAACTGTTCATCATATAAAGACTTTTGGGTTTGGATTGACATGAGGGTGAGTAATTAATGTCAATTTTCATGTTTAGGTGAACTATCTCTTTAACAATTGTGAGAAAGACCTACAGAGAGCTATTAATGCAAAGGGTACTTATTCTCTTCAAAGTAAAATTTTCATTGTTTTTGTTAAATTATATTACACATATATTTAATACGTTTCTAAAAGCTTTCTATACCGGTTAGGTTTGGGGGTAACGTTTGGGTTAGGAGATCAAAATTGCATTGGTTCAATATAAAAACAACTTATGTTAATGGGAAGTCCCCAAAAAGGTGCAAAGTGATTGTATGACACTGTTTTGTATTTTGTGTCTGCCTGCTTTTATACTGCAAATTGTCTGATGTGATTAATAATGCATGTAGCCCATGTATCTACACAAATGAATTGTCTCTGCCTATTCAAATCAGTTGAATAAACTCTTTAACAACACCTAATATGTTCTACCCATGTAAGACACATGCATGCATCAATAAACATGTAATATGCAATTTAGATAAAAACCAGAAAAGTAACATTGCATGAAAAGGTGTGGCAAGAAAACGGATCAAGACACTAAACCTGGAGGACTATCCCGGTGTTTTTGGACATGTCTCGGGAAACACAGCATGTGATTCGTATTACAGTAAACATGGAAAAAAAAACACAACATCTCTTTTCTTTGGACGTCTTGACAGATTACTGGGCGGAGCTAAACACGCCATGCCGTCAATGAAACATATACAAAGACAAGCTATGTGATCTCAGACACATTTATACGGATAGCTTACAATTATGTAACATCTTTTTACCACTTCGCAATGCTTTAACGCCAGTAAAATAACATATTAATGACACAAGCCGCATGACAGGCCTGATACCCCACTGACATGTAAACTGTCTACTCACAGTGTTGCGCGCGCAATCAGCTGTCCGGAACGCGAAACAGACGTCAGTCCTGCACTTCAGACGCCCATTTAAGCTAGTTTATTTAAAAACGTTGATTGGGTTTGCGTATAATTCAAGTATATGAGCAGGAGAGGTTTAAAGTTAAGGCTGTACTTGAGTTCCTCCACGTCATCAAGATGACACAGCCCTAATTCTAGATCACACCCACCCACCGTTCAAACCTGTTATACAAACATATGCTTGTTCAACAGCGAGTGATTTTATCAACACTGATTTAGAAATGCAGACAGAACCTTCAGTAAATGCGCTTGAGTTGAATTTATCCGCTTAGTTATTCGTGTATAAGCCGTTTTCATTATCGCGTTTTAACATCAAAGAAAATACAAATATTTGTGCCTTTAAACAATACGTGTGCAGTGAAAACGACTTCTGAACTGTACATTTAACGCTGATAATTATCAGTAACGTTTGACAGCTGGGAAGACCGGATCAAAGTTCACTGTTGACGCTTTGTCACGTGATCACTGTGATGTACTGTACGAGTCGTGAATCAATTGACTCTCTTGTCCGGTTCTTTGTAATGAACCAGTCTGTATTGATTAAACGTCTCAAAACAGATGTTTAAGTTTCACTATTTCTAGCATATCTTTAAGTTAAATTAGTTTGTGTAAGAAGTTTACGTGCTACAATGGACATTGCTTTTGCTATAGAGCAATGCATATGAACATCAGTATTTTATTGTGTTTTGTGCCCATAGAAGTCAGTAAGTGATTGTCAGAAATAGTAGAATGATACTCTAAATTTAGCCTAAATTGGTTCAACATTTTTTTTAAGTACGTGGTTAAAACGTAAATTAAGAATTCAGTGATTATAGTTTACACCAGAGTTTACACGACGATTACGTCCTCACGAGCGAGCCCTTTTTTTTTATTTAATTTTCTTTGTATCTGACAATTTACTTTTTTATCCCAACTGTTAATCTGCAAATGATGCTACTATCGTTTAACTCGGATGGAGACAATTCATTCAGGTCCGTTTTTTGAACTCACTCAACTGATTCAATAAAAGATTCGACTCCTAAGAACATATAATGTACACAATTCTCCATCTGAACAGTGAACAGCACTGTGTTGAAAACATGGCTGAGGAGACAGTGTTAGCGGACACTGGGTAAGTGACCCTCTAAGCACACAATTGCTTCAAAAATGTAAATGGTGTGAATTATATGTGCCTTGCTATTTTTGTCGTTTAGTTAACGTTGGATTTATTCGTTTTGGTTTGCACGCCGTAAACTGTTCTGTCAGTGTTTATCAATAAACCTTGAGGGTTTTGTTAATGTAGGCTATATTTGTTTACTTCTTACAATTCTTTCTGTCTGTCAATTCTTCTTTTATTAATAAACTCTTTAAATTAATACAAAACTGATAACTAAATTATGAATTGCCTGTATTGTAATACAATTATTACAGTATGTCTTTGATTGACAGCACTTTCACATTCTCTTGGCTTTAGACTGGCACAGCGTGTACTGATGATTCTTGGTATTCGTAGTCTCTTCTACAGTGTTTTCTCTTTCTTGGACAAGACAGTGAGGTAAAATGTGTCCAAATGTAATTCATAAACTAACTCTACTAACTCTGCTATTTCATAAACTACAGTGTAATCCTAATGAGCAACATAGCTATACTAAATGTGAACCAATATTCTAAATCAAATTTAAATCTACCAAATCTTTTCCCTCCTAAAATGATAGTGTTTTCAGTGGCATTGTTTGGCCAAAGTGGGTGTTTGTACTGAAAAAGTTTAGTTTTGTTGAAGTTGATTAAATAAAGTATTTTGTCTCAAGATAATGGTTTCAGGGATTCTCATTAACTGTCTAAATCATCAATATTTAAATAAAATAAATGATTTCAATGATTTGTTCATTTAATAATCATGAATCAGTCATTGGGGCAATTTCGCAGTACATAGCAACAGTCCGGTCAGGTGTCTAGTACTAATTAGTTATGGTTTCTATTTAGTTTTGGGACATTGAGCCATATTGTACTTTACTTAATATGTGATTATTTTGTCAGAATGAGCACAACTTTACAGTATACATATTCAATATACCATTAACATAATATGTGTAACATGGACACTGTAATGTACAATTTTGTTACAATGTTCAATATAAGTTAAACGAAGTAATTTCTCAAGCTAAGGGCGTTTGTTCTCTGAAAGCAGATTTAAAAGCCTACTTAATATTTCCTGTATTAATAATTAGCCTAATTAATGAATTTAGTTTGCTCTGAAAGCAGATTTTAACCTGTCATTATTATCATTAATTGCTGTTGTTGTTGTTGTTGTAAAGAACAGTTTCAGCCATATCATGTTAGTTTCTTTCTAAGTGAAATAAGATTGAGAATATCACATTTAATTGTACTGTAGGTCATGGTGGATTACCGACTGGCTGCCGTCCTGGTGCCCAACATCTCAGAGCCAACTGAAGGAGGCAGAAGAGAGGATGCTGCACTGTGAGTAACACCAAAAACCATTGTCATATCAAAATTTAAACTCCGAACTTTCCAGGTTTTTGTTAGGTATTGCAAATTGTCTCTAGAATTATTTAATTAACATAATTGACGATGATCAATATACAGAGTGGCAATAACAAGTTTGTGAAACCTTAGTAAAAAAAAAAATGCCCGTAGTGTTTGTTTACACCACAATCAAATTTGAATTTTGCCTTGTTGGCGGAGGCTATTTACACTAGCTCAGCCTACTATTGTCTGGTTGAGTGAGACAAAACTACAAAAGAAACCCATTTGAAAACAGGAGCAGTGGTGTGGAGACTAAGGGGGCGTTACAAGACCATTTTCAACTAAAAACGGAAAACTTTTTATGCGTTTTAGCCAATAATTTACTCAACAATGGTGTTTGGGGGGCCTGAAAACGCAAACTTTTGAAAACAGGTTTCAAAGTGGAAGTTTTTTTTTTTTTTAAAAAAAACAATACCATTATCGTGTCCGTGTAATACAAACTCACGAATTTGTGAAAACCGTGACGTCATCCACCTGCCTAATTTGTGTTCAATCTATCCACAAGTTTCCGAGGGGCGCTCCTGTAAAAAATAAAGTGGGTGAAACTTCCGGTGACGCGGCGGAAGTAGCATTCCAATGGTATTTTGTGCGTTAGTTAGCGAAGATGCTAGCTGTTTTTCGGAGAATTATTTTACTATTTAAAGACGCAAATCTTTATGAGAGATGTCGTTACGGAGCTCAGGGACAACATGTGCTGTTCGCGGTTGTATGTATAACGGACTAAACTAATTCAGTGGCTTAAACGTGATTGTTTTGATTATAAGCTGAAAACGAGTGATCCTGCCAGAGCCCGTCTCTGATCCTGCCAACGACTGTAACGTTAGTTTCCATCACCTCCCAAAAGACGACGAATCTTCCTGTGTACATTTTTTTTTTAATTCTTTATATTTTATAAACTCTATCAGCATGTGATCAGCTGTTCGCTACTGATGTTACACCTAAACTCAGGATCAAAGCCTGTGTTGACAGAATACCAAATGTGCCAGTAATGTATTCAAGTAGCACATTCATTTATAATTTTGAATAAACTCAAAAGCACAATGACTAAGTGTGTATTTTTTATTTTAATTGTTTGTCAGTTCGCACAACTGTCTGTCACCATGCCTTAATGACTATTGATTATTAATAATGTTATTATAATACTCCCAATCAACTACTGCGGAGGTAAAGGCACTGTTATTTCACCCTTTTGAATTTCGTTGAGGTTGTGTTCCCACATCGTTAGCTAGTTTGGATTGCTATAACTTGAATGACTGTCAACTGTTGAATGAACGAGTGTCAAGCATGTCAAGTCGCGCTTTGTTTACATCCAACCGGAAGTCGCGCCCACTTTTGACGCAAGGCCTCATGGGGCGTAGGAAACTTGTGGATAGGCACATAGTTTTTCTTTACAAAGTGGCATCACCAACTACTGGCCTAGGAGCAGAACACAGGGTTTTTAGTCATTTTCGTGAATCGTGTGAACGGGTATCGTTTTGATAACGTTGTCGCCTGTACGCGAAAAACACAAAGGAAAAACGTTTCCTTTTTTAGTACATCGTTGTCTTGTAAACATACCCTCAGGCGTGTGCTATTATGCAACCAAAACAAGTTCGAAACTGCCTTTTTAATAGTGGGAATAAAGTGTTTAACATGTTTTATTGATCTATAATTGAAATTGGATGTGGTGTCCTCTTGATTGTTGAGGACAAGTAATATCCTAATATGGCAGCATCCATTTATGATTTTAGTAAATAATCAAATACACTGAATATGTTTTTATTGTTGCATACTCTTTTATAATTACTACAATACACTGAGATGTAAATAGTATGAAACTATTGCACTAAGTATAAATAGCATCTAACTACAATGTGCACACTTAGGGTAAAGAAATACTGCTATTTTCTCTTAGAGTAAATAACATTTAATGCTTTTTGCATACAAATAGTATTTGCCAAACATATCTGGATTTCTGCATTGATTACTCAAAAAAAAAGTGGTCTCATCTTAATTTAACTCACAATTCTTGACGCACACAATCTGACTAAATTAATAAAGCACAAGCAATTATAATTTTCACATTTTTATTAAATCCATCAAGTAACCATTCACAGTGCATTGAGCAGAATTTTACTTGTAATAAAGTAAGGTCTGCACTAGATATGAAAATGCATCGCTTATTTTATTCATATAGATTACAAAAACATATTTAAAGAGTGAAAATAATAAACTTATTGATATTAACTAGCATGAATATACACTCTATATATATTTGCGAAAGAGTGTATGTCTGCGGCAAAGTGTGTCTGTGTAATATATATACGTATATATATATATATATATATATATTTATATATATATATAATTTTCTGGTAAGATGTAACCTTTGCAGATACATTTTATGTGCCCTTTATAATACAGAAACCTTTTCTTTTTATTCCTTTCAGACGTCACAAGCAAGTTCTGCAGGCAGTTTGTTCACATATCTGACAAAAATACACTGTGGACTTTGATATTTAAGGGGCCCGTGGACAATAAAACCCCTCTAGTTCTGCTGCATGGATTTGGGAGTGGTGTGGGATTCTGGGCCTTGAACCTGGACTCTCTCGCTCAGCAGAGGCCCGTTTACGCCTTCGACCTGCTGGGCTTTGGCCGGAGCAGCAGACCTCACTTCAGCAGGGATGCCCAAGAGGCTGAGCTCCAGTTTGTTGAGTCCATCGAACAGTGGAGGGAGAAACTGGGCTTGGAAAGTATGATTATGTTGGGCCATAACCTGGGAGGATATCTGGCTGCCTCCTACGCAATCACATACCCGGATAGGTTTGTAACTAAAAAGACAGAAATGAGTTCAGCGTTAGCGAAATATATATGTATCATCATTAGGGTTGGGTATCGAGAATCGAGTATCGATTGGAACCGGGACTAACTTTTCGTTTTTCCCGGAATCGTTCAAAAGTTCAAATTTCGATTCCTAGTTTCGATATTCACAGTCCGCCGAGCTGAAGAAGAAACCGCTGAACAACACCAACGAAGAAGCGTCTACCGGAAGTGTTGGTATAACCGCGCGAGTCGAACATGAGTAGCTTACGTCAGCGGTCCAAAGTGTGGCTTCACTTTTCTAAAAATAACGAAATCTCGGCAAAATGCTAAATTTGTGACAAAAGGAATATTTGTGACAGAAGGAGTATTTCCTTCAGAAAGACCGTTGGTTAGCATGGTTAGCTAAATTTTTTTGACCCTGCCTCTTAAAAGAATCGGAATCGAGAATCGTTAGGAACCGGAATCGAAACAAGGAATGGGAATGGGAATCAGAATCGTTCAAATTCAAACGATACCCAACCCTAATCATCATCTAATTGAGTGAGGGATTAAATACTATGCAAGCACAAAAATTAATAAGTAAATATCTACATTATAGCAGAGTGTATTTGCTTGATTTTCAAATTACAAATTCACAAAATGAATGGCTGTTGCATCTTTTTGTGGTCATTTTTGATAATCATAAAAATTTTATTGATACTCCTGGTAGAGTTTAACAAATTTCAGAATTTGAGACAAATGAATTGGCAATTTAACACTGACACAACAGAGAATTACATTAGTTTTAAGATAGAACTTAACATACATCATTATTTTTGACAAATTCTGCCTATTTATTAGTAATTCTGCCTAGGTACATTAATCTCAATCTAATTTGAATGCTTATTACTTAAGTTAACTGCCAAAACAATTAACATAGCATCAAAGCAAATTTTTATTTTGTAAAATAAATATTGACATACATAAATTAGTGCATTAGAGCAGTGTGTGTACAAAGTGTTGTTTCCTCCATGGTCCATAACAATTATTAATGTTATCTAATGTTTCTGTGAATACCCCATGTGATGCGAATGAGATCATATAACTCATACAGAAAAATGAAGTACATTATTGAAAACGCTGTTTTTCAGATCCTTCCTGTTTCCCCATTTCCCACAAGCTTTATGTCTGTCAGCAGTTTGACCTCAGAATTTGATTCGAAACTATTTTTGTTAGCATCCGATTTCAACAAGCATTAGAGTTGCTACATCTTCCATATTTTCACTTCTATCCATATTTAAAACCTTTTTCCTTAACTAAATTTTCTTCATGCCTTAAAATAGCTTGATTGTAACTCTACACCCTTGCCTCATTTAGTATACATGGTTCTGTGAATATGCAAATTAGCCCTGCCTCCACTCACTCACACCAGCTCAGAGATCCACTTGCTGGCGATCACATGTTGACCTTTCAGGCAGTTTGTGACGTCAGGAACAGCAGCGATCTCAAACCATGTTTTTGAGCCTGTAAGGAGAAAACACTCAGCAATGCTGTTGACTTGTGAAATTGCACATAGTTTGTCTTAAAGCACATTAAGAATAGTAACTAGTTGTAGCTAGGTGTAACTCCAGTTATAGTTCAATTGAAAATATGCTACAGATATATTACAACTACTGTATGTCCTTCTCTTTACCCACTGTCCAGAGTAAAGCACCTGATTCTGGTGGAACCGTGGGGGTTTCCAGAACGTCCTGACCCAGGAGATCAAGATAGGCCCATTCCTATGTGGATCAAAGCAATAGGGGCAATGCTGAGCCCATTAAACCCCCTCGCTGGTCTCAGATTGGCTGGACCTTTAGGTAAGATTTACTCTAATCTGAGAGTGTAAATCAAACGTAATAAAAGTATTAATGAGAAAAAGAGAAATGACAGCTTAAGGCTCAAGATGTGCTTGTATATCTTAAATGATGTGGAACACCGTTTGATAAAGATTGTCAGTAATGAAACCCAGGGACAGATTTAGCCAAGACGTCTCACTTGCAATTTCACTGAAATGATTCACTCAGTAATTGGAGCATGTCTTTTTTTTCATACGTCATATTCGTCTCATATCGCATACCTTAATCGCATTGCCTTTTGTGTATATGATGCACTTGTTTTGCAAGAACAAATTGGCTTTGGAAAAAATCCTAGAATTATCAAGGATCTAAGGGGTTTGTGTTTTGAATTTCATAGATTGGTATTAATGACGTTCCACTCATATTTTACTAAGCTAGCTTTTTAATATCTCATCTGAGATCATATTTCATATCTCTTTCTCTCTTTTCCTTCTTTATACGCTGACAATGTTTGTTTTTGTTGTATATGAACTTCGGATGTTTTTAAGTGCTAGTTTAGTATAAAAGTACCCAGTATTTTAGAAGAACCAAAACCTCATACCCAGAAACCCCCTGACTCAGGATAGTTGTGATTGTACACAAGCCCAGATGGAATCTTCTGACTTTCACATTTTATGGGCTGATTTGTTAGGGAAATCTACAGAATTATGTGGAATGGATATTAAAGGGTTAGTTCAACCAAAAAATTTTATTCTGTCATTAATTACTCATTGTCATTCCAAACCCATAAGACTTTCACTCATCTTCAGAACACAAATGAAGATCTTTTTGATGATATGAGAGCTTTCTGTCCCTCCATTGACAGCTACGCTACTACCACCATGACTTGCTACGCTACTACCAAGTTCATAAGGAGATTGTAAAACTTATCCATATGAATTGAGTCCAAATTTTCTGAAGAGACACGATCGTGAATAGGATGAACAGATTTAATTTAAACATTTTAACAATAATGAACAATAATGAACCTCATTGGTTCTTGCTGAAGCTCAAACGTGTTGCGTAACACGAGAATGAACCTCATTGGTTCTTGCTGAAGCTCAAACGTGCTGCGTAACACAAGAATGAACCTCATTGGTTCTTGCTGAAGCTCAAACGTGCTGCGTAACATGAGAATGAGCCTCATTGGTTCTTGATAAAGCTTAAACGTGCTGCGTAACACGAGAATGAACCTCATTGGTTCTTGCTGAAGCTCAAACGTGCCGCGTAACATGAGAATGAACCTCATTGGTTCATGCTGAAGCTCAAACGTGCTGCGTAACATGAGAATAAACCTCATTGGTTCTTGCTGAAGCTCAAACGTGCTGCGTAACACAAGAATGAACCTCATTGGTTCTTGCTGAAGCTCAAACGTGCTGCGTAACATGAGAATGAACCTCATTGGTTCTTGCTGAAGCTCAAACGTGCTGCGTAACACGAGAATGAGCCTCATTGGTTCTTGCTGAAGCTCAAACGTGCTGCGTAACATGAGAATGAGCCTCATTGGTTCTTGCTGAAGCTCAAACGTGCCGCGTAACATGAGAATGAACCTCATTGGTTCTTGCTGAAGCTCAAACGTGCTGCGTAACATGAGAATGAACCTCATTGGTTCTTGCTGAAGCTCAAACGTGCTGCGTAACACAAGAATGAACCTCATTGGTTCTTGCTGAAGCTCAAACGTGCTGCGTAACATGAGAATGAACCTCATTGGTTCTTGCTGAAGCTCAAACGTGCTGCGTAACATGAGAATGAACCTCATTGGTTCTTGCTGAAGCTCAAACGTGCTGCGTAACACGAGAATGAGCCTCATTGGTTCTTGCTGAAGCTCAAACGTGCTGCGTAACACGAGAATGAGCCTCATTGGTTCTTGCTGAAGCTCAAACGTGCTGCGTAACACGAGAATGAGCCTCATTGGTTCTTGCTGAAGCTCAAACGTGCTGCGTAACATGAGAATGAGCCTCATTGGTTCTTGCTGAAGCTCAAACGTGCTGCGTAACATGAGAATGAGCCTCATTGGTTCTTGCTGAAGCTCAAACGTGCTGCGTAACATGAGAATGAACCTCATTGGTTCTTGCTGAAGCTCAAACGTGCTGCGTAACATGAGAATGAGCCTCATTGGTTCTTGCTGAAGCTCAAACGTGCTGCGTAACATGAGAATGAGCCTCATTGGTTCTTGCTGAAGCTCAAACGTGCCGCGTAACATGAGAATGAACCTCATTGGTTCATGCTGAAGCTCAAACGTGCTGCGTAACATGAGAATAAACCTCATTGGTTCTTGCTGAAGCTCAAACGTGCTGCGTAACACAAGAATGAACCTCATTGGTTCTTGCTGAAGCTCAAACGTGCTGCGTAACATGAGAATGAACCTCATTGGTTCTTGCTGAAGCTCAAACGTGCTGCGTAACACGAGAATGAACCTCATTGGTTCTTGCTGAAGCTCAAACGTGCTGCGTAACATGAGAATGAGCCTCATTGGTTCTTGCTGAAGCTCAAACGTGCCGCGTAACATGAGAATGAACCTCATTGGTTCATGCTGAAGCTCAAACGTGCTGCGTAACATGAGAATAAACCTCATTGGTTCTTGCTGAAGCTCAAACGTGCTGCGTAACACAAGAATGAACCTCATTGGTTCTTGCTGAAGCTCAAACGTGCTGCGTAACATGAGAATGAACCTCATTGGTTCTTGCTGAAGCTCAAACGTGCTGCGTAACATGAGAATGAACCTCATTGGTTCTTGCTGAAGCTCAAACGTGCTGCGTAACACGAGAATGAGCCTCATTGGTTCTTGCTGAAGCTCAAACGTGCTGCGTAACACGAGAATGAGCCTCATTGGTTCTTGCTGAAGCTCAAACGTGCTGCGTAACACGAGAATGAGCCTCATTGGTTCTTGCTGAAGCTCAAACGTGCTGCGTAACATGAGAATGAGCCTCATTGGTTCTTGCTGAAGCTCAAACGTGCTGCGTAACATGAGAATGAGCCTCATTGGTTCTTGCTGAAGTTCAAACGTGATGCGTAACATGAGAATGAACCTCATTGGTTCTCGCTAAAGTTCAAACGTGCTGCGTAACATGAGAATGAGCCTCATTGGTTCTCGCTAAAGCTCAAATGTGCTGCGTAACATGAGAATGAGCCTCATTGGTTCTTGCTAAAGCTCAAACGTGCTGCGTAACATGAGAATGAGCCTCATTGGTTCTTGCTGAAGCTCAAACGTGCTGCGTAACATGAGAATGAGCCTCATTGGTTCTTGATAAAGCTTAAACGTGCTGCGTAACACGAGAATGAACCTCATTGGTTCTTGCTGAAGCTCAAACGTGCTGCGTAACATGAGAATGAGCCTCATTGGTTCTTGCTGAAGCTCAAACGTGCTGCGTAACATGAGAATGAACCTCATTGGTTCTTGCTGAAGCTCAAACGTGCTGCGTAACACGAGAATGAACCTCATTGGTTCTTGCTGAAGCTCAAACGTGCTGCGTAACATGAGAATGAGCCTCATTGGTTCTTGATAAAGCTTAAACGTGCTGCGTAACACGAGAATGAACCTCATTGGTTCTTGCTGAAGCTCAAACGTGCTGCGTAACATGAGAATGAGCCTCATTGGTTCTTGCTGAAGCTCAAACGTGCTGCGTAACACGAGAATGAGCCTCATTGGTTCTTGCTGAAGCTCAAACGTGCTGCGTAACATGAGAATGAGCCTCATTGGTTCTTGCTGAAGCTCAAACGTGCTGCGTAACATGAGAATGAGCCTCATTGGTTCTTGCTGAAGCTCAAACGTGCTGCGTAACACAAGAATGAGCCTCATTGGTTCTTGCTGAAGCTCAAACGTGTTGCGTAACATGAGAATGAGCCGCATTGGTTCTTGCAGGTTCTTGGTTCTCCCTCCATTGACAGCTACACTACTACCACCGTGATGCTTCAAAAAGCTCATAAGGAGATTGTAAAACTTATCCATATGAATTGAGTCCAAATTTTCTGAAGAGACACAATCGTGAATATGATGAACAGATTTAATTTAAACATTTTAACAATAATGAACAATAATGAACCTCATTGGTTCTTGCTGAAGTTCAAACGTGCTGCGTAACACGAGAATGAACCTCATTGGTTCTTGCTGAAGCTCAAACGTGCTGCTTAACACGAGAATAAGCCTCATTGCAAGCATACTTGAGCTTCTATTTACCACAAATGATGTGTAAGTTGATGTATTTTTATGTGACAATAAAAGCAAAATTCAATCTGTTCATCATCTAATAAAGCGATCGAGTCTCTCCTGAAAATTTGGACTAAACCGCTCAATTCAAATGAATTAGTTTTATGATTTCTTTTTGAATCGTTGTAGTTGCGTAGCTGTCAACAGAGGGACAGAAATCTCTGATTTCATCCAAAAGATCTTAATTTGTGTTCCGAAGATAGAAGAAATTCTTTGGAATAAAAATGAGAATGAGAAATTAATGACAGAATTTATATTTCCGGGTGAACGGAAAGTTTAGTATAAAATCCATCTAGCATAGTGAAAATTGTTTAATAGAGCAGAGAGGACAATAATTTTATTAATAGCTGAAAGTTACCACAAAAAAAATGTAATTATCCAGAATGTGTAATAAACAAAACACAATAGTGATATGCAGTGGTGGCTGGTGGGCTTTTTAATAAAGAAGGCACACTAAATCTAAGAACCCGTATTATATATTTAACTGCTTAAAATGTATTTTAGATGTGATAAAATTACATTACACACATACACAGCAAGACAGTATAAATAGAATTTCACTCTCCTATCATAAACTCCAACCTAGAGTATTGTTCTCTCGCACCTTCTGCTATTTAATGAAAATGTTTGCTGTATGTCAAGCTTAGCCATGGGTCTTACCAATTAAATATTCAATATTTCTATAATTCATAATTAGGTTGTCGAGAATAGATTATCAGCGGGAGCAGTTCAAACTAATCACATGTTTTCTACAATGATTGATTGTTATACTAAGAGAGGCTAATCACCTCTGTGATGCTGAGAAAGGGAAATACTCACTGGTGAATGGCTAATTTTCTTTTACCAACGGAAGCAAAAATCACTGGATATGGATTGTGCCACCGATCCTCCCCTTCTCTGTCTCATCAGATTCGCCTTAGCTCATGGGGAAAAGCAGCGGAAAAGTAAACAACCGGTAGCTCCAATTTCAATAATATTTTATGGTCTGCACTGGTGAAATAAACACAAGAAATACACATACTGAACACATAACAACACAACAAATGTATTATTTCATATTCCACCTCAAAATTTCGAGTGGGCTGTGCCTCCCTTGCCTCCCCCGACAAGCCGCCTCGGGTCATGTGTAAAACTTTGTGAGTGATGGACGTTCCAGTTCCCTTGAAATCTGCAGAGCATTCCGTCAAGTTCTGTAGGGTTCTGAAGGGGTCTGGATATTACTCACTGACAATGGGAACATGTGACACATGAACTGAAAAATTAATTCCAGGATGAAAATTTTATGCGAGATCCATCATTTTTGGATAGATCGATTTTCGGTGGATTTTCATTTTTTTGTTTTTTTTCTGATGTGTGTTTTGCATTGTCTTGTAGGTCCCACTCTTGTAAAAACTCTGAGACCAGACTTCAAAAAGAAATTTGCGGCTATCTTTAATGACAATAGAGTCACAGAATATATCTTCCATCTTAATGTCCAAAGTCCAAGGTACTATCTATCTATCTATCTATCTATCTATCTATCTATCTATCTATCTATCTATCTATCTATCTATCTATCTATCTATCTATCTATCTATCTATCTATCGTTCGTTGTGAATGGCTTTGATATGTGTCTGAAAGTTGAAATTCTCATAACGGTCTGCTGTTTATTTTTTTATTATGATCCTAATATTTTAGCGGTGAAACAGCCTATAAAAACATGACCATTCCGTATGGCTGGGCAAAGAGGCCCATGCTGCAGAGAATTGGCCTGATTCACAGCGACATCCCCATTACGGTGATCTATGGCTCACGCTCCAGCATAGATGGCCACTCCGGCAATTCAATCAAAGAAATGAGGCCAAACTCCCATGTAGAGATCATTGTGAGTTCTCCATTCACTGCTCAGCACACACTGCCACTCAGAGAAACTTTTCTTGATCTTTTGTTAAAACAGCTTGTTGTACTATGAAAACATACTGCAACTTTGCAACATTACACGGATCTGTAAGATTTCATACAGAAATACATTTGAACACATGGTTGCCCTCATTTACATGTCAGCAATGCCTGTTTGGCATTCAAAAAATTGGTCTACCTAGTCACAGTGAGGTAATGAGAAAGCCAGACAGTGTGTAGGACCTACAACTCTGCATATCCTTCTGAAGGATCCCAGTGTTCCAAATGTGTGACTGGGATTCCTTCGGAACTAGGATAGGCCTATATTTTCATAATATGTTCAAAAACCTTATTTTTCAATGTCATTCCTGTAACCGCGTTATATCGATCATGGTCATGGCGACACCACACAACTAACGTAAATCAACAAGACCTCAATCGCCTTTTTTTGCGAATACATTGGCGGAAATTTTTAAATGAGGAATATTGTGACATATTGTTACTTTCCGGACTACAATCGATGCATTTCAGGGAGTTCAGAAACAGCCCTTATTGTTGAAAAAGAATAACTCCCTTTAGAGTGGACTTTGTGCTTCGTTACTTTGCACTTTCGTACTTTCGTTACTCAAACAGCAACATTACACAATGAAGAAAGTTGAAAGTGAAAAGGCCCGTTCAAACCAAGCACGATAACTATAAAGATAACTATTAAAATTTAATTAAAAAAAATCTAACTCCATATTAAAGAATAACAGAGTTCACACACCACAACTATAACGATAAAGATATGAGGAACGATATCGTTGGGATCACTTTCAGAACGATTTTTTTCCATCTGTTCAACAATAAAACACTGACAACCAATCAGAATCCAGTCTAATTTAAAGGTCTCGCGCATTTAAAACGGCAGATGATATTTCAGAGAAGTTAATCGTCGAGGTACAAAAAAATCCTCCACCGTTTGACAAGTCAAACCCCCTTTTCAAGGATACGTTAAAAACGATGGATATTTGGAAAGCAATCGGTCGTATCCTGGGAATAAACGGTGAGAAGTATTTACAATGAGATATTATGCAGTTTTATGATATTATCTAACAAAATTACCTCGGTAGGCTATCCAGTGCTAGTTGACAACATTGCTGAAGTTGTTGTGAAAAAGGTGTTGACTAGGCCAGACTGATCTCATAAAGTAGCGTGTGTATGACACGCCAATTCGTATTTCCATTTTTGGCGTGCTATCAAGACGCATAATCGCTTTTCAGCGTGTTTATGAACGCCATTGACATAACGTTATTACTGTATATATAAATATATGACTTACCTCAACCCTGTCCCTAAACCTACCCGTCACTGGGGTTAATGGCATTTATGAGTGTTCCCTTACCATCCTAGGAAAAAAAAAAAGATCGCTCCCCAGATGTAGATGTACATTTTGCTTCGTTTCGCAGACATTTGACGGTGTGTACAGACACGCGGAATCACTCGGACGTTAATGGCATAGACATACACGCAGACACACGCGGATAGCTCAAAATGCGTACAGATAACACGCCACTTGACTCGAAAGTGGCGTGTATGTTTACGCAAAAGTCATGATGTCATGTTGACTAGGCGATGTTTTTATCCCATCATTGACTTCGTCAGCGAAATTCACTGTTTGACTTGCTAGATTCACTATTTAGATGCACTCCCAACTCCTCTCGTTCCAAAAAGCGCCTGTTTTTCTTTTGATATTTGTTTGTAACGTAAAGCAGCAGCAGAAGGTCATTCATCTTCGCTACTTGGAACCAGAGCGCGGGCGCGCGCTTAGAATAAAAATACTATTAATGGTTGTTGGTGTAGCGGACGCATAATGTAAATAGTTATCTTTAAATGGACTGCATTTATATAGCGCTTTCACAGACCCAATGGCCACCAAAGCGCTTTACATATTGCCTCACATTCACCCATTCATACACCGACGGCGGTGTCAGCCATGCAAGGCACCATCCAGCTCGTCGGGAGCAGGACACCTCGACACTTGGTCAGGTGGAACCGGGGATTGAACCACAAACCTTCGGATTTGTAGACAACCTACATGAACATAGTGTGAAGAACGGGCCTTAACACTTTGTGTAGCACATTGCTTTGTGATTCTTTAATAATGCATGTAGGATTTTCAAAGAAGCTATTAAATACTATTTTTAATCAATCTGCATGCAAATGGGAGGATTCTTAAAGGAAACTTGACAGTATGACTATTTTTAGCACAATAAACACATGACGTCATGGTATGACCCGTTTGGGCATGATGATGGCGGGCAAGATATCCTTCATGGGATTTCACAGACATTTGGAGCTTTGCCTGGATGGCATAGCTTCCACAAATGACTTCTTAATTCCAGTGGGAGTTGTTTTGCATGAATTCTAAAAGATTAAAATGTTGAGAGCAAGCAGTATTGAAAAAGTACAATTTGAATTGGCAGGCAGCACAAAAACAAAAGTCTTTGTGCAATGAACGTGCTTGTGTTCCAGACTGACTCCTCTCAACACCACAAAAACGGAGCTAATTATTCTAGTTCTGAAATGCCATTGTGTAATCTTCGAGTTATTAGGGGTGTTAAAGCCAAGCGAAAATATTGCAACATTTTATATCACAATCTGTGGCACTAGTTCAAAATAAACTTACTTTTGACTATGGCACTTCTGGTATCCACTGATTATTTTCTTGGTAATTTTAGTCATTGTCTGTCTGCTTTTAACTAATGCTAAACGTCTTATTGGCTTGCATTGGTTTTAGGCCATACGAGGTGCAGGACACTATGTGTTTGCTGATCAGCCAGAGGATTTCAACCAGAAGATACTTCATGTCTGTGAAACCATAAACTGAAGAGTGATGATGAAGGTACTTTTCTTCTAGAACTATCCAAACATGGCTTTCTGCAGAGCTCCACATGCACATACTCTCATGCGTGTCAGAAAATGATCTTTGTTGAGTCTTATATTGGGATCGGAGAGATTGGAGTCCACTTGGTTTGAAAACCACATGCTTGTTTTCGACCACTACTGAACCTTTTTTTTGTTGGTCCTAAATAATAAGTTTCCATGTCACATAATTATGATGATATTTATTTATTTTTATCTGTTTATCTTTGATTTGGATATAAATATATTATATTATAATAATTGTTAATTATTATGACAATCAATAACATTTTGTGGTACATACACTAAGGTATTTAGTGACCATAAACATGTAACTGTGAGCTATAAGGCACTTTAATTAACATACATTTCCAAATACATGTAACAAACGTTCATGACCCTTTATCAGACTGTGAGACAGTAGTGATTGTGTTTTTAGAGCTTTTGAAGCCTTTTTGTTGTTTTCTACCTCATGAAATTGTAAAATATTCTTTGTTGGGATCAGAAGGGAGGCAGACAGGTGGATCAACAGAAAGCATGTATATCCTCCGGTCATGCAGTTCACTTGTAGCTCTTGTAACCTGTTATGAGAAGAATCATATGTAAAATTTCCACAAAATCTTTTTAAGTGCCTCGATTTCCAAAATATGTGCACATTTTGTACTGTAATATCCTTAACCATTTAAAGTCCATCTTGCCTTTATCTTCGACTGTAGGCTCAGGCGTTTTCCCTAAAATGTAAATGGTACTGAGCCCCAGATCACAGTTTAACGCCCGTTTCACACATACTCCGTTTGCAGTACTGTACCCATGTTAACAGGTTAGAGCTTTCACACTGCACGCGGATGCAGTCCGTCGATCCGTTCCAGTTGCGGTGCGTATACAGCAGTGCAGAGATCGTTTCCGTATCGAGTCTATTTCTGCTGTGCTGCAAACGCAGAAATAAAGTGACCGTGCACGGTTCGTGGTCAAAATGAACTCAGATTGACCTCGAAATGTAGTAGTTTCACCATAAATGCATTTAATTCAATAAAATGTAGTAATCTCTCCATAAAGGTATTTAATTGTTTCATATTTTTACTTTAAGACATCTTAATATACAAGTAATGCATGGAATTGTATGCATTCGTTGTTTAAATCGTGTTTAAACGAGCATGCGTCCATTCAAGTTTGTAAAAGAGAATCGCAAATCCATGGCAAAACTTTTATTTTTAAAAAAGTTACTGCATATGGTGAACATATTTTGATTACCAAAAACCAGGACACATGGCCCAGAAAACAAATGATACTCGAAGTTTACTCAAAGATGCCTTGTTAATTTCAATACAATTAAAATAGGCTATGCCCCCTCTGTGGATAGAAAATTGTTGTATTAAGACACAAAATCAGATCCACTTCTCAGAGGATACTCAACATGTTTTATTATGACAGATTGGTTTAAAATTTAATGAATGAAATAATGATTAAAAAATAATGTCTCTTTTATATTAAAAAAAAATCAATATTAATTAACTAAAAGAAATACCTTCAAATTGAACAAAAATACCTCTCACAAAAACGAACTAGTTTCCTTCCTCTTTATCGTGTTTTTCCTCCTCATCCTCCTTGTCTGCTCATCTCCTATATTTTGCTATAAAGCTGATCTTTTCCAGCGTTTTTTTTTTTTTTTGAAAACCAGGACATCACTTTATAAAAAACGGCCAGGAAGGACGTGAAAACAGGACTGGAATAACAGGACTGTTGGTCACTGGTCACGCTATTGCTGCATAACTTCTGATTTTGAAATAAAAATAGCGAGTGTTTGTGGTACAGCTCACGCAATGCAAACGCAGCATATGTGAAAGCACTTTAGCGCGTGCGGCTCCTGTACCGGATACGCACCTCAACACTCACCGCATACGCACTGCAAACGGAGTATGTGTGAAACGGGCGTAAGTCTTCAGGCAAAATAAATGCAACAGTCCTCAGGGCAAAGTCAATATATTGTAAAAGCATTCATTGTTTTGTAAGGAATTATTTTAGTATCATTATTATTGTTTTGAATTAAATTGAGGCTGTCATAAAGATTTTGTACATTAAATTGTTTGAATTTATATTTTTCCAGGTTTGACAAATCTATTTTTCTTGTGTGAACTTGATGTCAATTGTTAATTTTAATAATAATAAACTAATTGTATGAGTCTGAATACAGCTGTCCCCTGTCTTAAAGGTCATATACAGTAAAACACCCTCATCATATGACTCACTGTGGCCAGACTGTTGTCTGGAAACCGCTATGACACAGCAGGTGGAAATCGCTCTCCTGATCATGTAGATATTATACATTAAATGTCATTTTACCTCACTCATGGCATTGATAAATAGTATTTCTTACAAATTTGTAACCTTATTTTTGTAGACTCTCCTTTTTGCATAAATATTTCTTAAACCGTCTCTATTGATTCGATATGTTCTCAGTGAGACGATACATGGTCGCCATTCTGAAGGTCTCCACATAATGTCTGTTCATATCCACAAGAGGGCACAATGTAACACTGCAGGGATGTTACCGCCCTGCACCACCCCCACCAACACACACACACACACACATCCATGCGGTTAAATCACACACACTTACTGACACTGACTATAGAGTCAATGCAGTTAAGCATCAAGGGCAATGTTAAGCCATCATAACATCCGCTACATCAATAATATGACCCTCCAGCTCATCCCACAGGAAGCACTTTACAACTCCACTTCCTGTGCATGCTGAAGGAGCGAGAGTGCTTTACTTTATTAAAGTAAAAAGCACATTTAAGGAATGTACTAAGTTGATAGTTTTATAGTGCTTGCTTGGATTCTAAAATTGTGCATCACAGATATTTGCTGGTAACGGATGTTCTGGGAAACCTACGTTCCTAACATAATGGAACAGACCTTGTGTGTTAGTTTACTCGATTACAACAGAACACAGACAAGTGCATGCATTATTATGTATCATGTACAGTAATATTATTAAACTTTTACAGTAAAACTGTTCTATTTTAATGCATTTTAAAGGATCATTTTGTTCCTACATTTCATCAGCCACTACTCCAGTCTTCAGTGTCACATGATCCTACAGAAATCATTCTAATATTGTGATTTGATGCTCAAGGAACATTTCTTATTATTACCATCAATGCTGGGCTACTTAATATTTCTGTGGAAACCATGATACTATTATTCAGGATTCTTTGTTGACTAGAAAAAGAACAGAATTATTTGAAATAAAAAAACTTTTGCCACATTATACATATCTTTACTGTCACTTTTGATCAATTTAATGTGTCCTTGATGAATAAAAGTATTAAAAAAATCTTGCTGACCCCAAACTTTTAAACAGCACAGTGTACATTACCAAAGGAGTACATCTGCAATCAAAAGTCAGTGATTTAACTAGGAACTCAAATATTCCTCATCAAATTCTTCTAAATTATCAGAGCTATGCTGATGGTCCTCGGATTTGACGTCACGTCCAGACTTCAAGCGTTCTATTTGTTTTGCGCATCCGAGTCGCCACCCGGAAAAAAAAAATGGACGCCACCCGGAAAAGCTGTTATAATGGTAGCACTGGCCGAGTACCAGGCACTTACATAAAAAAAAAAAATTATTATGACTACACCTTATTAAAACGCAGCCATTTGAACTTGTTTATTAATGTTTTTCATGTTAATCTTCTGTTAGCAACGCTAGCAACGTCAGTAATTGCACTCACAACAACCGATTCCCATACCTACAGGGGACGCAGTAATACGAGTGATTATAACCGTCATTTAAAATACCAAAGCGGTTCAAAAACAATGAAAACAATTCATTACAAGTCACAGGGCGCAGCCATCTTGAATTCCGAAACGGAATTCTTGCTCGATGTCCTCACGGTGGTCCGACGTCCGAGAGGAGAAATCCGAGGAAACGGGGCGTGTTGCTAGGCAACGTCTGTCGTCCGATTCGGTTCTCCGAGATGGATGAATAATAGAACGCATCATTATCACATTAATTTCATAGCTGAGCTGCACATCAATATTCATCTGTATTTATTTATATCTCTCCTACTTGAATTTTCATTTTTGGGTGAACTATCCCTTTAATATGATGTCAAGTCACCTTAAGGCTAGAGCTTTATACAATACAGATTGTTTTAAAGGTCCCCTGACATTGGGGTTATTTTATTATTTTATAATGTTTCCTGGGTTGCTATTATAATGTAAGTATGTTATTTAGATCAAAAATAGTCATAATTTAGAAATAAAAGGCATTTTTCCTAGCCTGATTTTAGCCTCTGATACGAACGCTCTGTTTGAAGGGGCGTGTCTACTGTGGGATTCAGTGTAACCGCCCACTGCTGTGATTGGCTGATCCTTACACCGTGTCCTAACTACACGCGACGCGATAAAATTCCAGCGACAGCAAGACGTGTGTCTGTCCACACTAGACGCGACGCGACTGTGAGATGCCACACATTCAGAACAGCGTGTGAGCCTATGGTGTGAGCAGAGTCTCTCTGTTGGCCCGCATTCACATTGAATATGGGTAAGGACATAATCAAATCAAGAAATAACATTATTAAAAATCAAAACATTAACAAAATATACTCATTGACAAATTTTGTTAAAGTACAGTCGTATGTTTGCATAGAATTCATTTTGAACGCTATATTACATGCTTTCAAAATCTGAGGTAAATTATCCGTTATCACTTGTGGTACAGTGACCTATTTTTAACTAAAAATAAATAATGTGTACTCATAACCAGTGTAATTTCTTCATTCTGTCAGCCGCGACGTTGCAGAAATAAGGAACCGTTTCTAAATTAGAAACTTTGCGTGTCGCCATCGCGTCTGGTTAGGACAAAAACTCTGATTAACATGGAAAAGATACCTTTTATCGCGTGTCGCGGCGTCGCGTGTAGTTAGGACACGGTGTTGCATATGAAATAGCTAACATGCAAAACTTTCTCGAATACTTTTACTACAGCTATTGTAGGTTTTTACTATTACAGCTATCAAGATTAACCAATCATGAGACGTTTTTTGCCGTGATGAGCATTGAGCAAGCAGATGACAGTGTGTTGATCGCGAGAATGAAGATCAGTTTCTGCACTCTCTCTAATGCTTTCACCAATGCAGACACGATGATGTACATACAGTAAGAGCTTCGTTGTGCAGTGTGCGTCATTGATTTCATAACGAGTTTTCCAGATAAACTCGCGCTGTGTGGAAAGATTGTTCTTTGATCGCTTTCTGTATAATTTGTTCAGAATTTAAATAAGATTATTTTCATCCTACTAAAAGAAATGAAATGAAGGTGATATTTTACTCACTGGCTTGACTTACTGATGCATAAACAGTATTGAAAGATTTTGAGAGAAAGATTAACTTCCCAGACAGCAAACTGACATTGAATCAACGTGGAAACGACGTCTCTCATGACATTGAAACAACGTTGATTTTGCTCATCGAATTAACGTTGAACCAACGTCAGACGCGGCATTCTTCAAAGCTAAATGAAAATCGAAAATTGGTTTGCTTTCATAACGTTGAAACAACGCGTTGATTTCAAGTTGATTTTCCGTTAGTTTTGAAAGAATGACGCGTCTGACGTTGGTTCAACGTTAATTCGATGAGCAAAACAATGTCAGATCAACGTTGTTTCTATGTCATATTTCCACGTTGATGCAATGTCAGTTTGCTATCTGGGTTACCTGTCTGAACTTGAACAATTAGGCTACACAGAAATTGTTGCTTAGTA